CCGCATGGAGCTGAAAGAGCACGAGGGCCTGTGAGTCCGTGACAGCCAGTTCGTCAAAGGAAATTCCCCGAGCACGTCAACCGAAAGCACACTGTTCTAGGTAAAATATAAAACAGATTTATTAACTCCAGAAAGACAGATTTTAAATGATTATAGGTAACAAGTGAGAGATCCAAGTTGGTTACATAAGAAAAAACTAATTTGCAGTGTAAATTCTACAGACTAAGCAAGATTTGAATTAAGCAGTGTCTTGCCCTCATAGACGTTAAAGGCAGCTCACAGGTCTCAATACACAGTCTGGGTTCCCTGCCAGCCTGGGACCAATCTCCCCAGTTCAAAGTCTCTGTCTTCCAGGTGTTGAGATGGGGGAGGAGAGAGGCCAAGTGGTGATGTCATCAATCCTAACACCAGCTAAGTGTCTCGACCAGTTGATGACCCACGGGCTCCCAGCACCTTCACAAAACTGTCTCTCCAACGAACACCCTGAAGCTGGTCCAATTCCTAGAGCTGGACATGCCTTGAATATTGCTGCAGATATAGGTTCCCTGTCCTGGTGCTGCGAGTCACAGCCTCTGGGGAAGGCCCTTTGGTGCCGAGCCGGAGTACACGCCCCAGGTGTGCACCCCAAAACTTTAGAATGCGCAGAACATATCGACCCTCCTGTGTTCCTGTCGCTTTGTCTCTGGCCTCCCGGGCTCAAGTGGACCCCAATTTGCCCCACTAACCCTCCCCTTGGCCCTGGTGCGGCCCAGCAATTTGCAAAACTGTCTGCATCAGCAGGTGAATGTTAGAGCACCATGAAGCATGGGTTTGTACCCTAAGGCTGGTGCAGTGAGGGCCAGCTCACAATTTCTCTGCTCAGGTACCTCAGGGAGCTCAAGGTCAGTTGGTTCACCGGGACACCCCCCCCCCCCCCCCACACACTTCCAGAGTCACTACTCCTGAGGGGGTGATCCCCATCCCGGCCGCGTGACCGACAGCCCCGGCTCCTAGACGTGACCTGCCATTTGGCGGTGAAAACGCAGCTTGGCCCCATGTGATGCCATCATTTACTTCCCCGGCTACTGTGGCATCTGCAGCTTCCCCCAGCTACGGGTTGATATTTTCCTCCTGATCATTGATAAAGACACTGACATGCGTCCGGCTGACACCCAGTCCCCTAGTAGACGTGCCCCACAGGGGACAATTCCCCCTTTCCCGTGTCTTTTTGAGCGCTAGCCAACATATAATCTGGACTCTGTGGCTCCCGGAGCGTGGAAATTTTCCATCATATGGAGTCAAGTGCCTGACACAGGCTGACCCTCTTCTGCCAACACAGTCACTTTTAGCTTTTCGCACATTTATAAGCTCATCAAAAAGCCATAGAAGCGTTTGCCAAGCCCTATGTCCCATGTGCTCCCTGTTCATTACACTGACGCCCTTCAGTGCAGTACTGATCGTCTCCTGGATCAGCCTTCCCAGGATTTTGCCCAGGATCAATGTCCCACTGTGACGAAATGGGACTGTTCTTAATGCTTCCTCTGAGTACTGTAGGGGTGCCTCAGTTTCCCCTATGCAGTTCTTAAGTCTCTAGGTGGTGGGGTAAGGGTGTATGATCATTGCAGAGCCCTAGAGGGCAGGTGTGTGCAGGGGTCTGGACACAGAGAATGGCCGACACCCTGTTTCCTGGCAACTGATGACCTGGCCCTTCCCCCCTGCAAGGTGAGAGCTAAAGGGTTGGAGAACAAAGGAATCCGGTGACATCCTGGCCCGGGAAAGGGACAAAGCCCAGAGGAGGAGGGGCTGGAGAGAGTTTGGAGCCTGCTGGGGACATGGAGTGAAGTGCAGACGTGGTTGTCTGGCTCACTGCCCCCCAAAATGGACCTAGCGGAGGGGTCCTGTTCTCTGCACCTACAAGCTCTGTGTTAGACCATGTTCCTGTCGTCTAATAAACCTTCTGTTTTACTGACTGGCTGAGAGTCACCTCTGAGTGCGAAGTTGGGATGCAGGACCCTCTGGCTTCCCCAGGACCCCTCCTGGGCTGACTCGCTGTGGGAAGCGCACGGAGGGGCAGACCCAGGAAGGTGGAAGCTGTGTGAGCTGTGTGTCCTGCAGACAGGCTGCGCACAGAAAGGAGACTTCCCCAGAGTCCTGCCTGGCTTCGTAGGGAGCAGTTCCAGAGCAGCGCCCGGGGACTCCGTGACACCCACTAACCGGCCTATTAGGCAAATCATCCCATTTATAACCATGGCATTTCCCCAGATCCCTGGACCTTCCCCAAAAGGTCAAAGATCTGTTAGAAAACCGCACTAATGGTTCTGAGAGCTCCTCAGCCAATGCTTTGAATACTCTTGGGTGCAAGTTATCTGGTCCTGCCAATTGAAACATGGCCAAGCTGCCCAGACCTTCCCCTCTCACAGGGCAGGGAAAGGACCCACCACCCTGGGCTGCTGCCAGCTGGCCTGGACCCTCCTAGGAGACAGCGCAGGCCCCTGGCAAAGGGAAGGGTACGTGGGATGGCCGAGCCAGGTGAGCTCAGCCCTGCGGCCCCAGGGCCCCACCCCGCGGCCTCCCCAGGCCACGAGGTGGGTGGGTGGGTGACCCCAGCATACGCTTCGGAGCACAGGACTATATGTTACAACCCCCCCATCACACAGCCCTCCTTCACGCACACATGCCCAGCCCCCCCCATGCACACGCTGCCCCCCATGGGCCCATACACACACACATCCAATCCCCCACCATGCACGTGCTGCCCCCCACAGCCCCATACACACACGTCCAATCCCCCCATGCACACGCTGCCCCCCACGACCCCCATACACACACACACGCAGCCCCCCCATGCAGGTGCTGCCCTCCGCGGCCCCCATACACACACACAACAAGCCCCGCCATGCACGCGCCTCTCCCCACAGCCCCATACACACACACGTCCAGCCCCCCCCCATGCACGCGCTGCCCCCCACGGCCCCCATATACACACACACTCAGCCCCCCCATGCACGCGCTGCCCCCCATGTCCCTCACACACACACACCAAGCTCCCCCATGCACGTTCCGCCCCCCACGGCCCCATACACACACACGTCCAGCCCTCCCATGCATGCGCTGCCCCCCACAGCCCCATACACACACAAGTCCAGTCCCCCCATGCACACACAGCCCCCTCACAGCTCTCCACTCACACCCAGCCCCCCCACATGCACGCGCTGCCCCCCACAGCCCCATACACACACACAGCCCCTCCGTGCACTCCCTACCCCCATTACCCCCATACACACACGCCCGTCTCCTGACATACACACACTCCCTCACATGCCCCCAATACACACACATCCAACCTCCTCGTGTACACTGTGTCCGCCCCCACAGGCCTCCCCACACAGACACCCAACCGCCCCCCCCGCCGCATGCTCAGACATGCTCCCCCACAGGCACCCTCCCCCGGTGTCACAGACCTCCATCAGTGGGTCATACCACACCTCGTGCTCGGCTGTCCTGATTGTTACTCAAAGGGCAGCATGTAACATAGCACTGGGAAACTCACCACATACCAATGCTTCGGGGGGGGGGGGGAGGTATAGGATTTACACGTGTGTGTGTGTGTGCGTGTGCAGGGTGTGTCTGTAGGTGTGTATGGTGTATGCATGTATATGGTGTGGGGGTGTGTGTACATGTGTGTATTTGGGGTGTGTACAAGTGTACGTATAGCATGCTTGTGTACAGGGTGCCTGTGTAGTGTGTGTGCATACAGGGTGTGTACGTGTGTGTGTGTGGGGTGTGAGTGTGTATGGGGTATGTATGTGTTTGTGTGTGTGTGTATGTATAGCGTGTGTATACAGTGTGTGTACAGGGTTCATGTGTATTGTCTGTGTGTGAACGGGGTATGTGTGTGTGTGGGGTGTGTGTGTGTGTGTACAGTGGGTGTATGTATAGCGTGTGTGTGTGTGTACAGTGTGTGTACAGGGTTCATGTGTATTGTCTGTGTGTGAACGGGGTGTGTGTGTGTGTGTGTGGGGTGTGTACGTGTGTGTGTGTACAGTGGGTGTATGTATAGCGTGTCTGTGTGTGTACAGTGTGTGTACAGGGTTCATGTGTATTGTCTGTGTGTGAACGGTGTGTGTGTGTGGGGGGGTGTGTGTACGTGTATGTATACAGTGTGTAGGGGGTGTGTGTGTGTACAGTGGGTGTATGTATACAGTGTGTAGGAGTATGTGTGTGTGTGGGGTGTGTGTGTGTGTACAGTGGGTGTATGTATACAGTGTGTAGGGGGGGGGTGTGTGTACAGGGGGGTGCATGTACAGCCGGTGTAGAAAGAGTTCTGTATATGGGCTACAATCATATGCTTCAAATGTGTTTGGCAACCAGTGCGCGAGCCCAGGCTGCCCGAGCCCCAGGAACCTCAATTTGCTTCTCTGACCAACCCGCTTGTCAAGCAGAGCTGCCGAAGGCCTATTCTACCGCTGAGGGAAATCTGAGCCACTGCGTGTGCGCAGAATTCATGTTCCCCGCAGATTTCTTTGCTTCCCCACAGAATAATGACTTACCCCCCTGCACTCAGAAACCCCCCTGACGAGCCCCACTCCCTCTACGCCTGGATGACCCTGACGAGCCACCTGCACCCAGATTCCCAACTTCACTGAGCCCCGAACAGCTACACCTGGATCCCCACCCCACTGAGCCCCGCTCCCCCAGCATATGGACCCCCCACTAAGCCCCCCACACCCAGACCCACTTACCAAGCTCTATCCCCCCACTCTAAGCCCCTCCACACTTCGATCCTGCCGGGCTGAGCCTGCCTGCTCACACCTGGTGCACCTGGCACAGAGGGGCAGGGCCCTGGGGTGTTTCTGGGGCAGGCCCAGTCCTTGCACTGTGTCAGGATTGGGTACAGCAGAGTGATCTCCCACCTCTGTGCAGGCAATGGCCTGTGCTCCCCAATGCCATGCTGGAGCTGCCATATTTGACAAATAAAATTTGCAGAATCTTGCAGCATTTTAAAATATCATGCGCAGAATTTTTATTTTTGTGATGCAGAAGGCCCTCAGGAGGACCATTTACACAGCAGGTAACCAGAGCTCTCGAGCCGGGGAGGAGCCAGCTGGACATCGACCCAGCCAGAGAGAACAGCTTGATCTGCATTTTCCTTTCCAAAGAATCCACTGCAAAGGGTCACTGGGCTATAAAGCCAGGGACTGACCCTTGAGCCACCAGCCGTTGCAGCAGCTGGCTGCGTGCAGAGTTACTGGGCTATAAACCTGGGGGCGGTGTTACCGGGCCGTCAAGCTGGGGGCGATCCTGGCTGGGGCGGGGGTGGTGTTACCGGGCCGTCAAGCTGGGGGCAATCTTGGCTGGGGGCGGCGTTACCAGGCTGTCGAGCTGGGGGCGATCCTGGCTGAGGGGCGGCGTTACCGGGCTGTCAAGCTGGGGGCGATCCTGGCTGGGGGCGGCGTTACCGGGCTGTCGAGCTGGGGGCGATCCTGGCTGGGGGGCGGTGTTACTGGGCTGTCAATCGCAGCGAGTGCAGTCGGTTCCAAAAGCCGGGGCAGCTGGTGAGGAATATCCCTGTGCCAGGGCTGTATTCCCGCTGCACGGGGAGCTATGGACACTCACCGACACTCTGCTTGGACGGCTGTGGCCGAGCCCAGGGAGGACCAGGCAGGAGGGATGGGTGTGGCTGGCGACCTGTCCCCAGTGAGACTGAGCAGCATGGGATCAAAGGAAGCCCCCGTCTCCATATGATTCAGCATGGGATGGGAAGGCCACAGCCAGGAAGAGGAGGCCTCCTGGGCTCTCCAAACAGAGACAATCCACTCTGGGGTGCCAGGTGGGGGGCACAAAACCGCTGGAGCCGTCCATCATGGAGTGGGGATTCGAGGGACCAGAGTCCCTGAAACCACAGAACTTTGGGGCCCCTCAGCCAAAGGGGGCTGGAGTCTCGAGGAGCCGAGTACGGGGGAGAAACGGGTTCACGCTTCGCTCCTCGGGCTGGGGATCCCGGGGGGCCGGGACTTTCTGTTGGGCTTTCCCTGCACACCAGGGCTGGGCTGGGCTTGAGCTCAGAGCGTGTGTCAAGCCCCCATTACAGCGATGAGCTCTAGGTGCAGCGACCTGATTCACTCCCGGGAGCGTCCGGGTGAGGGCTGGGCATGGCCAGGAGCTGGTCTGGGGGGATTCGGGACAGGGGGACACTGGGGTCACTGCAAACAGCGACGGGACGGCGGAAGCCAGCAGGTGACGTGTCTGTTGCTCCACCTGTGAGCGGCCCCTTTGGGGGCACCAGACGGGGAGAGGCCTCTAGCTGCCCTGGAGGGAGGCTGCGGCAGGATCCGAGCGCCTGTCAACGAGCACCAGTCTTTGCTGGGGGGGAGGAGTCCTTTGCTCTCAGTCCTGCCCCTGCCTTTGAGCCCCGGGCTGCCCCCTAACCTCCAACGCCCTCTCCCTGTGCCACGCACTCCCGTGCGGTGATGGGGGGACCCACGCAGGCCCCGGCAGCATCCGTCCCCTTGTGCTGCGGCTTTTCCTCTGGCGCCAGAGCAGAGCCAGGCAGGGAGCCCTGGGCCTGGCAGAGCCGTCGGGGCTGGGGAAGGTCAGGGGGCCTGTCAGAGCCATCGGGCGGGGGGGCACGTGGAGCTGTCAGGGAAAGGGGTGGTCCAGTATCCTCTTCCCATCCTCTGCCCCAGGAGGTCTGCTCAGCAGGGGACACCACTCTCACAGCGTCCCTGCAATGGAGCAGACAGCAACAGGGATGTCACATGGGCCCAGGCCCGGGTGGGGGCTACAGGTCGGGGTTTACAGGGAACGCTGGGAGTGCGGTGGGGGGGGAAAGAACAGGATGGGGGACAAGGTAGCTGGGGTGGGGACCGGAGGGGCTGGGTTGGAGGCTGTGGGTGGAGAGAGAAGGGGATCATGGGGTGAGCAGAAGGGGGCTTGGCTGGGGGCTGGGAGCCCTGGGGCAGAGAGGGCAGGGAGCTGGGCTGGGGGCCCTAGGGAGGAGGGAGCAGGAACTGGGAGATGTAGGGCGGAGGGAGCAGGGGCTGGGGGTGACAGGGCGAAGGAGGCAGGGGCTGAGGGCCATGGGGTGGAGGAGATAGGGGCTGGGGGAGGTAGGGGCTGGGGGCCATGGGATGGAGGAGGCAGGGCTGGGGGCCGCAGGGCTGAAGAGGCAGGGCTGGGGGCTATGAGGCGGAGGAGGTAAGGGCTGGGGGAGGTAGGGGCTGGGGGCTGCAGGGTGGAGGAGGCAGGGCTGGGGGCTGTGGGGCAGAGGGAGCGGGGGCTGGGAGCTGTGGGGCGCAGGAAGTAGGGGCTGGGGGCTGCAGGGCGGAGGAGGTAGGGGCTGGGGGAGGCAAGGGCTGGGGCCGGGGGCGGAGGGAGCGGGAGTTGGCGGCTGCGATGTGGAGGAGGTAGGGGCTGGGGGAAGTAGGGTGGAGGAGGCAGGACTGGGGGCCATGGGGCAGAGGGAGCGGGGGCTGGGGGCCGTGCGGTGGAGGAGATAGTGGCTGGGGGAGGTAGAGGCTGGGGCTGCAAGGCAGAGGAGATAGGGGCTGGGGGAGGTAGGAGCTGGGGGCGATGGGGCAGAGGAGGCAGGGCTGGGGGCTGTGGGGCAGAGGGAGCGGGGGCTGGGCTGGGGGCCGTGGGGTGGAGGGAGTGGGGGCTGAGGTGGGGGCCGCAGATTGCTCAGTCCTTACTGGCAGCTGGGCCTCATAGCTCCGACGCAGGCGCTCGTAGGCCTCCATGATCACGGCTCTTCTGCAAGGGGATAGCAGGGGTCAGCCCTGAGGCAGTGCCTGGCCCCTCACTACCCCACCCCCTCGGGGTCCCCTAAGGGCCCGGGGCTTCTCACCCCCTCCCCTCCCATGGAGCCACATGGGACTGTGAGCCAGGCCCCAGCCTGGGGCAGAGGCACTGTGTGCCAGGGGCTCCATGTAGTGGGGGTGCTCGCTGTGGGGGGGGGGGGATCTGTACTCACTTGCTGGCAAGACCCCCGCCGGGGGGCAGGCTGGGGTTCACCTCGGACGCCAGGCACCGGAAGATGGCCACGAGGCTGGCAGCCCCCTGCTCCTGCAGCTCCCCATACAGCTCTGTGGGGAGAGGGGCTGGCTCATGACTGGCTCTGCCCAGGCACTCAAAGCCCCGCTCTGCCCCTGCACTGCACCTGGTTACCCCCTCCCCACTGCCCCTGCCCCCCATCCCGTTCTCACCCCATTTGCCCCTGCCCTCCCCCTACTCCCCTCCCTGTTGTCCCTGCTCCCGCCCATGACCTGAGGGGCAGTAGCTGGCACAGGCAGGCGTGGGTGCCTCCCGCTCTGGGTCCCTTGGTCTAGCTGCCCTGTAGCCAAGGGCCTGGTGCTGCCCAGGGCTCGACCTCACCCACCTGCCACCCGGCTCTCCAGGTGGGCGTCCAGCTCCCGCTCCTTCTGCAGGGCGGCCTGGGAAGTGCCGGGGGCCCCCCGGAAGCACACCACCATGCAGGTCATGTTGTCGCGGCTTCCCTGGGCAGGGGAGAACCAATCAGGTCAGGGGGCAGCGAGCGTGGGGACAGGCGGCTGTAGGGGGCCCTGATGGGTCATTAGAATGGGGGGAGCCCAAGGGGGCATTATGCCCAGATACGGCCCAGCATGGAGCCCAAGGGCCCATACAACAGCCAGACAAGGAGAGCAGCCGGATCTGTACCACCCCAGCCCAGGGCAGGAAATCCATCGAACCAGACAGTGTTGGGCAGGGGGGTCCCTCATCTCCCCCCAACCCCTCTGCCCCAAACATCTGGCCAGGCAGAGATAACAGAACCACTGTCTGCTGGAGGGGAAAGGCCCTGTGTCCCATTCCCTGCCCCCTGAGCCAGCCAGTCCCTGCCTTGGGGTCATATGGGAGCCAGCACCCCCTACAGGAGACAGGCCCCATGTCTCAGTCCCTCCCCTCCACCTCCTCGCACCAGCCAGTCCCTGCCCTGGGGCCGGATGGGAGTCAGCGCCTTCTAGAGGGAACAGGCCCCATGAGCCATTCCCCCCGCGCCCCCATGCTGTGGCTGGCTGGCTGGGAGCAGGCACCTCCTAGAGTGGAAAATCACCACGTCCTATTCCCCACCCCACCTCCCCACACTAGCCAGTGCCCTGCCCTGGGGTCAGTGCCCCATAGACAGTAAAGGTCCTGTGCCTCATTCCCCGCCCCCCCTGAGCCAGCCAGTCCCTGCCCTGGGGCCGGATGGGAACTGGTGCCCCTAGGAGAAAGGTCCTATGTCCCACTCCCTGCCCCACCCCACCCTGCAGCTGGAAACCAGCGACCGCTAGAGGCCAATGGCCCTGCCCCCCATCCCTGCCTCACCTTGTAGAGCCCGGCCTCCAGGACCTCCTCGCACACGGCCTGCGGGTCCCTGCCGAGCTGCAGGCGGGAGCGGACGAAGGCGCAGAGCCCCTCGGTGTCGAAGGCGTCCCAGACGCCGTCGCAGGCCAGCACCAGGAACTCGTCCTCGCCCGGGCAGCGCGCCAGCTCGTACACCTCGGGCTCGGGGGACACCAGCTGCTCCGTCTGGCCCCGCCAGGCCACAGCCTTGTAGTCAAAGTCGCCCAGGGCGCGGGAGACGGCCAGGGAGCCGTTGACGCGCTGCAGCAGGACGGTGCCGCCGGCGTTCTCGATGCGCTCCCGCTCCCGCGGCCGGCTGGGCTTGTGGTCCTCCGTGTAGAAGGTGAGGCGGCCGGCCCGGCACAGCAGGGCCCGCGAGTCGCCCAGGTTGATGAAGTAGAGGTGGCGCGGTGAGACCAGCACGGCCACGGCGGTGGAGCCGGCGTGCTCCCAGCCCTCGGCACGCGCCAGAGCCTGCATGCGGCTGTCGATGTGCAGGAAGCCCTCCCGCACCGCCCCCTTCACCGCCTCTGGCGACTCCACGCCCCCCGTGAAGGCCTCGCCCACCACCAGCTCCCCCAGCAGGTGGTGGGCGCAGAACTGCGCCACCGTGCTTCCCGCGTGCCCGTCGTACACGGCAAAGAAGGCCCAGGTGGCCAGGCTGCCTGGCAGCTGGGGTTGAGCCGTGTGCGCGTCCTCCATGTGGGCCCGCCAGCCCTGCATGGCGCCCAGCCCGTAGCGCAGCCCGCCCCCCTCGCCCTGCTCCAGCAGCTTCTCCGTCCGCGGCGCCTCCAGGAAGGAGCCGGGCCCCTCGCCACGCTCCACCTTGAAGAGACGCGAGACCATCCGCTCTGCCTGTGACACCAGCAGTCGCACAAAGGTCGCCATCCTGTGCCCAGGGTACTCACCCTATTCCCAAGCCTGGTGCCCCCGACCAAGTGCCCTGGGGAATCGCCCGGTCACCACTTGGCACCAGCCCTCTGATCTCCGGCAGGTTTCAGTGGCTCAGCCGCAGAGGCTGCACCCTGCCCCTGCCGACTCCCCGGAGCCTTCCTGGCGCCCCCATGGTGCTGTGCGGCCGGCTCGCCCCCTGGCAGCCCCAGGGACACATGCACTGTGGGGGCTGTGGCGGCTCTGTCCTCCCTGGCACCATAATTCCTCATCCTGCAGCTAAATATGGAATGTTAAATCTCCTAATCCCTGCCCGGTCATGGCCCAGCACGCAGCGTGGGCCATGCGAGGCTGGGGTGTGGGTAGCGGGACCCAGGGCCAGCCCCGCCCTAGCCACTGTGGGTATTCTGCAGAGTGCAGCCAGACTGGCAAGCGGGACCAGGCCCACGGTGCCATCACGAAAGTGTCCATTTGGGGCCCATTGGCCGAACTGTCTGGGGGTTGTTCCTTTCTGGGCAGGGGGAGCAGCATGGCCCAGCTGGGGGTGGGGGGAGCGGCAGGGGAGCTGCAGAGCGCCGCTGGGGTTGTGCGCTGGGGGCAGCAGCAGGGCCCAGCTGGGGTTGGGGGGGAACAGCAGAGCCCAGCTGGGGTTGTGGGGTTGGGGGGAACAGCAGAGCCCAGCTGGGGTTGTGTGTGGGGGAGTAGCAGGGCCCAGCTGGGGTTGTGGGGGGAGGGAGCAGCAGGGCCCAGCTGGGCTTTTGCGGGGGAGCAGCAGGGCCCAGATGGGGAGGGGGGAGCAGAAGGGCCCAGCTGGCATATGCTGCTTTTCTCCCAGGTTGAATTCAGGGCTTCTCCCCACACAGCTTCACACAGAAACTTGACTTGTTTTCACTTCCTGTCCCAAATTGCTGGGCAGCGTTGCCGGGCGACTGTATTTCTATATCCTACCTCCCCCCCAGAGGTGGCTGCATCTCAGCACCAGCCGATGGATCCCTGTATAAACAGCCCCACGCCCTACCCCAGAGGTGGCTGCATGGCATGCTGGGGGTATCCGTGGGGAGAGGCGCTAGAGAAGCGTTGGGTCATTACTAATGTAGTGACTCTGATATGCCCAGAAGGGAGCGGTGCTGTCCCCTGGTGGTCCCAAGGTGGGGGGCGGGGGCAGCACAGGGTCCGTGCCCCCCGCTCAGCCCGGTGAGGGGCAGCGCTGAGTCCTGGGCTGCACCTGTGACGGATGCTCAGCTCTGGCCTCACCCTCAACCCACTGTGGGGAAGTGATGCCTGGGGTCCCACTGTCTCCATGGAGATGACCCATCCCCACAGGCCCTACTGTCACGGACTCACAGGTCGTGCCCACTCTTGGCCCTGTGCGGTCCATAGGGGGTGCCCCTTTCAGTGCAACAGCCCTTCTCGGGGGTCCACTCTCCCTCAGGGGTTAAGCCCCTCCGCCTCCTGGAGCCGCACCTCTCTGAGCCTTAGCACGCCTGTCTCTCACCGTGGGCCCCCTCAGGGAGTCCACTTGCTCTGGACCCCTGGGGCCTCCACCCCCCGAAGGGGATGATGCCCCTCTGTTCTCTAGACTGGAGAGACTCTCAGCCAGCATAACACAGGAGGGTTTATTGAACATCTGAACCCAGCACAGGAAACTCCCAGGGCCTCAGTCCTGGCCTCCCTCAGCACAGCACATCCAAGTCTCCCCTGCATCCAGGTGAGCTCTGCCTACTCCCTGCCTCCAGCCCTGAGCCCCCCTGCTTCCCAGCTGGGCATCTGCTATCACCAGCCCCAACCCTGGCCTCTGTCCTTTGTCTTCTCTCCAGGTGAACAGGGTCGCCTGAGCCTCCTCTCCTCTCTCCACAGCCTATTGTTCTCCCACGGGCCAGAACCGGCTGGTCAGGACACCGGGGTCCTCTCTCCACAGCCCATTGTCCTCTCACTGGCCAGAACCAGCTGCAACTGCTGAGCTGGGCCTCCGGGTCACCAGGTCACCGGTCGCTGGGGTATCCATTCTCCAGGCTAGTGGTTGGGGTCCCAAGTTCCCTCGCCGGTCCTCTAACAACAAACTCCCTCTCCCATCACCTTGTTAAACCTGTAGCACCTAGGGAAACTGAGTCCCACCCCCTCTGCATGCAAACTATAGGAAAACCAAGAAAATTCCACCTAGGCAACAAGGAAAAACAAGAAACTCCCCCACTTCATCACAGTTGCTGGATGACTGTATTTATGCATCCTACCTCCCCCAGAGGTGGCTGCATCTCAGCACCAGCCAACGGATCCCTGTATAAACAGCCCCACGCCCCACCCCAGAGGTGGCTGCATAGCATGCTGGGGGTATCCGTAGGGAGAGGCACTAGAGAAGTGTTGGGTCATTACTAACGTGCTGACTCTGTTACGCCCAGAAGGGGGTGGTGCTGTCCCCTGTGGTCCCCAGGCTGTATACCCCCAGGCAGGAGGTGGGGCAGCGCAGGGTAGGGTGACCAGATGTCTTGATTTTATAGAGACAGTCCTGATTTTGGGTCTTTTTCTTATATAGGCTCCTATTACCCCCCACCCCTGTCCCGAATTTTCACATTTGCTGTCTGGTCACCCCAGAGCAGGGTCCGTGCCACCCCACTCAGCCTGGCGAGGAGTCCCAGGCTGGGCTGCACCTCTGGTGGGGGCTCATCTCTGGCCCCGTCCTCAACCCACCGGGGGAAGTGATGCCCGGGGGTCCCACCATCTCCATGGAGATGCCCCGTCCCCACAGGCCCTACCAGCTGCACCCCGGGTGGTGAGCCAGGCACTCCGGTCCCCATGCCCAGGAGCTGCAGGTCTGGGTGCTTGGGGTGGCATGAGCGTGAGTGAGAAGGGGCTCAGAGTGCCAGGGGGGCATGGCATGGGCTGGGGGGTAGCGGTTTGGGATGACCAGGTGGAGGAGGGGCTCCTACCCTCGCCCAGCATGGCCCCTGCGACTACCCCCCCACCACTCCCATCCCATCACGCCGTTAACGCCTCTTTCCCCAGAGTGCTCTCAGACGCGTCCTACCCCCACCCCTCCCTCTGCACCCACCCCAGGACCTACCCCCACCTCTCCCTCTCCACCCACCCCAGGACCTACCCCCACCCCTCCCTCTCCATCCCTCCAGGACCTACCCCCACCCCTCCCTCTCCACCCCTCCAGGACCTACCCCCACCCCTCCCTCTGCACCCCTCCAGGACCTACCCCCACCCCTCCCTCTGCACCCACCCCAGGACCAACGCCCACCTCTCCCTCTCCACCCACCCCAGGACCTACCCCTACCCCTCCCTCTCCATCCCCACCAGGATCTGCCCCCCACGTTCTCTCCCTTCCCCTGCGCCTTTGTCTCAGTCCCCCTTTGTCTGCGTCTCTCCCCCCCGCACACACACACTCCCCGCCCCTCGCCTTTGTGAGCCGCCGCCCTCCCTCCTCCGCAGCCCCCCCCCCCCCCCCCGCAATCGCTCGCAGGCTGGCGCGGAGGGGGCAGCGAGCTGCAGAGCCGCGGCTTCCCCATCAGGCCGGCCGGCGGCAGAAGCATGGGGCCGGGGAGATGAGAGCCGGGGGGAGCCGGGGGGCAGCGCCGCCGCAGCGCACCGCGAGCCCCATGAAGGGAACTGCGGGGCGATGGGGCAGGTCCTGGGGTTCGCCCACTGCAGTACGTAGCGGGCGGGGCGGGGCGCGGGGCTCGGGCCCGGGCGGGGGGGGAGGAACCAGAGTCAGGCCGGGGGATCGGGCCCGCGGGGGGGAGGATCGGGACAGGGAGGTGGGATGGGGCCTGAGCGGGGGGCGACCAGGGGCAGGCTGGGCAGGCTGGGGGAGCGGGCCCCGAGCCGGGAGGGTGGATCGGGACTGGGTGGGGGCATCGGCCCGGCCCGGCGGGCGGGACCAGGGTCAGGCTGGAGGATCGGGCCCGGGCGGGGCGGGAGGGGGGGCGTGGGGAGGATCGGGCCCGGGCGTGGAGGGATCTTGTCCAGTGCCCCCGTGCGCCCCCCGCCCGGCCTAGCGGCTCCAGCTGCGGTGCTCGCGGGTCCCCGGACGGAGCCGGGCCGCTGGGGACCCGACGCGGGGGAATCTCTCTCCGGCTCCGCGGGCAGCTGCTCTGCGCCCCGGGGCCTGGCCGTGGCCCGGGCGCGGCGGCAGGCGGCTTCCCGGGGGCTGCAGGGCCCCTGGGCGGGGCGCGTCGCGGGCTCCGGGCCGGTTCAGCACCTGGGCTGGGCGGAGGGCGGCAGCCGAGGGCCTGGGGCGGAGTCTGGCCCCTGCGGCAGCTGGTGCCCCCAGGGGCGCTGCTCCATCCGCATCCCCAGGCTGGGGCCGCTCCCCGCCGTTGCTCTGGGGGGTCGGGGGGGCAGTGCTGAAATCCGATGGCGGGGCCGGTGGGTGACCCAGCCACCCCGCACTCCGGCCCAGGACGCAGGGCCGGGGGCGGTCGGGGCTCCGCGGGAGCTGGGGGGACTCCCAGGCCTGAGGCTGCTAAGGATCAAGCCGCAGGGTACAAGAGGTGCTGGCAGGAATGATTATTGTTTATTAGGTGTATTAGGGTACCATCCATGAGCCCCAGCCATGGGGCAGGCCCCCATTGTGTCAGGTGCTGTACATTTGTATTGCTATTGGGTGTGTTACTGTAGCAGCTGGGAACTCCAGCCATGGGGCAGGCCCCCATTGTGTCAGGTGCTGTACATTTGTATTGCTATTAGGTGTATTACGGTAGTGCCTAGGGACCCCCCCCAGCCATGGGGAAGGCCCCATTGTGCCAGGTGCTGTACATTTTACAGCTATTAGGTGTGTTATGGTAGGGCCTAAGACCTTACAGCCATGGGGCAGGCCCCATTGTGCCAGGCCCTGCACACACACAGAGCTAAACGTCCCTGTCGGGAATTTACTACTGAGACTTTCTGAAGGGAAATTCACTTTCTGCAACATTGAACATTTCTCAGGAAAATTTCAGTTTTGCTCTAAAATTTCCCTTTTCTGTCAGAAAATCGTTCCCAGCCCCCAGGCTTCTCTGGCCCTGGGTGGCCGAGACATCATGTGCTCTGTTCTGGGCAGCTCCCTAGATGCGCCTCGGGGAGCCGACCTCATTCCTGCTTCAGGAACATGCAGGAGGGGTTTGGTCCCAGTCACAGATTAAAAACAAAGTTCCAAAAACTCTTTAAGTATTTGGTAAAACAGGAATTTCATTTCCCTGCCATTATTCACCGGGACTCGATGGGCGGAGTGGTCAGGGCTAACTCCATTCCTGCAGTTTGCACTAGGGGGGCGCTGTGCTATAGGCACAGGCAGGGCTGACCCATTCCCGCAATCACACTAGGGGGCGCTGTGCTGTGGGGCACATTTGCAGGCAGGGCTGACCCCAGGCACCAGCGTTACTGGCTGTTCCCCAAGTGAGAGGCTGGCCAGTGCCCTGGGGTCGGGGCTCAGCCCTTTGCGGAAGAGCCTGGGGAACTGGAAGGTGAATGAGTCAGGGCCTTAACATCAGTGATTCAAAGGACAACAATCTCCCACCAGCAGCACAGCGCCCCCTGCTGAGCCCTGCCCCTGACCACAGGGCTGAGCCCTGCCTCGATCACACAGTGCCCCCTGCTGAGCCCTGACCTCACGGCACCCCCTGCTGAGCCCGGCCTCGATCACACAGCGCCCCCTGCTGAGCCTTGCCCCTGACCACAGGGCTGAGCCCTGCCTCGATCACACAGCGCCCCCTGCTGAGCCCTGCCCCTGACCACAGGGCTGAGCCCTGCCTCGATCACACAGCGCCCCCTGCTGAGCCCTGCCCCCCCCCCCCTGACCACAGGGCTGAGCCCTGCCTCGATCGCACAGCGCCCCCTGCTGAGCCCCGCCCTGACCGCATGGCACCCCCTACTGAGCCCTGCCCCTGGCTGCACGGTGCCCCCCTCCTGAGCCCTGCCCTGACCGCACAGCGCCCCCTCCCGAACCCTGCAGCACAGTGCCCCTCCCTTCACCCCCGGCCCTTTCCTCTCAGCAGCTGGGCTTTGCCTTAAGCCCCCTGTCCTGACCAGACCTGCCAGGAAACCGGACAGTTTGGGGCAGGAGGAGGCTCCTTCACCTGCCAGGGCCCTGGCACCGGCCCAGCTCCTGCATTAACCCCCTGGCCTCAACATGGCGGGGCTCTGAGCAGCCGTGGGGAGGGGATGAGGTCAGTTCCCGGAACAGACTGTGGTGGGAGGTGGCAGCACCTGCCCGACCGTCTGTGGGGAGAGACCCGCCTCAGCCAGTGGGGCTCGCACGTGGTGCCCCCTGTTGGGCAGCCTGAAATAGGCCCCCTGGGTCTGGCTAGGGCAGGGGTGGGCAAACTATGGCCCGGGGGCCGGATCCGGCCCACCGGGGCTTTGGATCTGACCCGCGGGATTGCCAGCCCCGTGGCGCAGCGGGGGTAAGGCAGGTTCCCTGCCTGCCCTGGCCCCATACTGCTGCTGGAAGTGGCCGGCACCATGTCCCTGCGGCCCCTGGGGGAGAAGGGGGCAGATGGCTCCGTGTGCGGCCCTTGCCTCCAGGCACTGCCCCCCGCAGCTCCCATTGGCCAGGAACAGGGAACCGTGGCCAATGGGAACCGTGGCCAGTGGGTACCCACAGGGGAGGGCAGTGCGCAGAGCCCTCTGCCCCCCGCTCACCCAGGGGCCGCAGGGACATGGTGCTGGCCACTTCCTGGAGCGGCGCAGGGCCAGGGCAGGAAGGGAGCCCGCCTTAGCCCCGCTGCATGCTGCTGCCATCCTGGAGCCACTCCAGGTAAGTGGCGCCAGGCCAGAGGCTGCACCCCGAACCCCTCCTGCACCCCGCACCCCAACTCCCTGCCCTAAGCTCCCTGCCAGCACGCCAACCCCCTGGCGCACCCTGAACCCCTCCTGCACCCTGTACCCCAACCCCCTGCCCTGAGCCCCCTTGTAGCCCTCACACCCCTCCTGCGCCCCAATCCCCTGCCCTGAGCCCCCTGCCGCACCCCTCCTGAACCCTGCACCCCAACTCCCTGCCCTGAGACCCTTCCTGCATACCGCACCTCCTCCCACACCCCACACTCCCTCCCGCACCCCAACTCCCTGCCCCAGCCCTACATTCTTGGCCCTGCATGCAATTTCCCCATCCAGATGTGGCCCTCCAACCAAGAAGTTTGCCCCAAGGGGCTGCCCCAAGAGTCAGTGTCCCAATAGGGGGGGTTGCAGGGTAAAGCCATCCCAAGGACCCCAGCTCAGATCAGCCTGTCTCTGAGTCTCCCCAGCAAACTGCCCCTGCATATATTGGGGGGCAGTTAGAGCAAGGGGGGTGGTGATGGTTGGGAGGGGCTGGGGGAAGGAAGGGGAACAGAATGGGAGACAGCATGTGGGGTAAGGATGCAGCTTGGGTGCTGGAGAGATCCCCTGGGTCTTTGCATACAGGTACTTATATCCTGCAGCTGAATGGGGCATTCTCCCCTGGGGTTAGTGAGGACGCTGGTCAGCAGGGCCGGGAATAGGAGAGAGTTTGTTGCAATGGATGTTCTAGTCGGCACCTGCCCACAGCCTGGGCATCGGGTGAGGCAGTGGGTTAGATTGCGCTGCTTGGAATCACTGCTCAGGGTTTGGTCTGGTAGTAAAAGATGCAAAATGGTTGAGCCCCCAGGAATGCTCAGTGCCTGGCAGGGAGTGGGTTGAGGTGCTCAGTAGAGGGTGCTCTCCCCTGGCAGTCAGTGCTGGCCCCGATGCGCCAGTGTGGCGCTAGGGGGCGCTGGGCTGCAGGGAGTGGGGTGGAGGGGTTGGGGGCTCAGGGGTGTGTGGACTCATTGCTGGTCTGGGGCTTTGGAGTAGACTGACCCTCGTGCCTCCCTCTGTCTCTTGCAGAAGAATCTCCTTCTACTGTCTCCACCACACCTGACTCTACAGACGGTGAGTCTCTGCCCCCCATGCCCTGTCCCCAGAGCTCCCAGCACAGGGGGCGGAGCCCCTCACAGTCCCATCCCTGATGGGGTTTGGATCCCCCACAGCCTGGAGGATGGGGGGCA